CAGATTGGAAAAGACCTGTGATTCTTTAAAGATCTGCTCTAGCTTCTTTCTCTGTAAGATGGCTTTAGCTTGTAAATCAATCAATCAATTTTCTCCCTGGCAAATAAAATGATTTCTCCAGTTAAACTGGGCATTCAATCCATACAGGTAACACAACCTTAGCCAATAACATCAAAAAACCTGCAGAGAAACCTCAGTATCACAGCCTTCAGACTAAAACACTCAAATGTACTTCACACACACACACACACATCCAAATAACAGGCAAGCCTGTTGTTTCTAAGACATATTTGGACAGCTCTTGGGTCTGCACCCTATTACATCATTTGTATCATAACTGTATAGCAATACAAATTATATAAGTGGCGACAAATGAGATACTGTTTTTTTTCCATCTGTAAGACGCCCCCATGTATAAGACACCCAGCCACCCCCCCTTTTCTTACCCAAAATTCAGAAATCAGATGAAAACTGTTTCAGGTGGCGGGGGCAGGGCCTGCGCATAAGGCGGCAGCGATGCCAGGGCCAAAGCGTCAGCGGAACACCAGAGGGTCTGGGTGGGTGCTGAAGTGAGCGGGCTTCCTGCCTGCAACGCCCATGCAGGCTGCCCCTTCCCAGCCAGAGCTGCCACCGTGTTTAAGTGCCAGTAGATGCCTGCTTTCTCTCTGGTGGGCCTGGGCAACTGCTGGAGAGAGATAGGCCCATTTCAGTGCCTGGCACCCAGATGCCCTCACTTTGGAATTGATTGATTGAACTTTTTTTTTTTTTAGTCCCACCAACTTTCTTCCGTGCACATGATGGCGAGAAATGTGATGGAGAAATGTGACAGAGCTGGAAATCGGGTAGCCAAAGAAATATTTGGGGGAAGCGAGGGCATCTGGGTTGTGGTGGGTGGGCCAAGCTCCACAGCGTGGCACTGTGCTGCAATGGAGAAACAGGAAATGGAGCAGCCAGTGTGAGGGAAGGAGCAGGTCACTTTCTCTCTTTCTTCTTCCTGCTCCTCCTCCTTCCCTCGTGCCAGCTGCTCCATTTCCCATTTGTCCATTGCAGCATAGCGCCCAGGATGCACTTTGAAAGCAGTGATGGTGGTAATTTAACAACCGGTTCACCCAGGGTCAGCTATTGGGTCTCCTCTCAGCTCCCCCATGTATAAAACGCCCCTCCATTTTTTTGGAAATATTTTTAAGAAAAAGTACCAACTCATACATGGAAAAATATGGCATATTCAAGTTTCATGGATATTGGGGTGGGGTGAAAATTAGATCTTGCCCTGAACTGAGATATAAGTGCTTATCAATAACGTTATTTGTAGGTGGTGGGCAGAGAATCAACAGGGAGCAAATGATAAAAAGTGGTGTTGTTCTAATGTGATGCAAACTCCACTTCTTTTCTGTATGTGTCAGGTCAATGAACAAAAGGGGAACATCTTGCACCCCTTTGCTTTTTTTTTTTTAACCAGAGAACTATTTCGCAGACCTTGCTGCACATGATATCAAAATACTATTGCTGATACTCATACTGTAGATTTCCAGTTGGATAAAAACTAACTTTGAGAAGTACCTTCTAATAACTGCACTGTCTGTGCGTAGTCTGAGCCAGAAATACTTCTTTATTCTGAGAACCTGGTGCAGATTTGACTCTTGTGTCTCTTGATGCAAATGGAAACCAAACAAAGGGGGAACAGGCACAACCATTTCATATACTTGTGCAAGTTCTTGATTATCAGAAAAGAAATCTTTGGAATGTCTATAGAAAAATTTGACCTTCCGGTAAGGATAATTTTAACCTTACAAATATTCCACCAACATTCCCAGATTGACTAATGCTTCTAACAATGAATCATTTCTCTTTTCCTTTAGAAATATTTTTAGGAAATGTTTACACAAAAGGTATACTGTAGCCAGAGAAAACCATGACAGAATGAGTAACATGCAAGAGAAACCAAGTGTGACTATATCATGGAGAAATCTCATTTGTTGCACAGCAGAAGAGAGAACAAGAATACCGCTCATTTAAATAGAATTGAAATCAGATATATGCAAATTTTGGTATAAAACTATGATGGGGGAGGGGGAGGACACAGAAAAAGAAAGTTAACTGAAGAGTCATTAATGACGAAGGCTTTGATGGCGGATAGCACACTTGCCACCTTGTATGCCCCTATCTATGATTTTTGTCTATTTACATACACACATAGAGATATAACAAAGAGCATTAGTGGTCCTGAAAGATGAAGACATTTATTATTGCATAATCACTTTGCTCATTTTTTTATGCTGCAGTGGGTAGCTTGATGAAGGGCACATATCTTTGCACAGTTCCCAGTCTGGTATGCATGATAATCTATCAAACAATGCCCACATGACTTGACTTTATCCAATTAGTTAGTCACCCAGGAAATCAATGTGGACAAATCTGACCTCAAGAATAGCAATATCCCAAAAATGGGAGGGGCTTATATTTCTCTACCACTGAAATCAACATGGCCACTTTTAAGAAAGAAATGGGGAAGATCCATTTCACCAAGAAACGATTGAGCTCTTTTTCACAATATTTAATACCAGTTCTCATGGATTACAGAGACATAGGGGAAAAATCAAGTTCTTAATGTTTCAGGTGCTCCACTTGTTTTTGTTTGTTTGTTTTTGTATTTGCTGTGAAAGCCAAACAGCAACTGAAAATGTGTGTTTTTGTATGTGGCTGGGGAATTCTGGGAGTTGAAGTCCACACACCTTAAAGCTGTCAAGGTTAATTCTCCAACAAACCTGTGTCCCCCCCCCCCCCCCCCAGAAAATAAACCTGATTAGAGTCACCATCTAAAAAAACATTTTATCTGCCAGAAAAACTGCGTGAAGGAACTTTTGCAGATTCAGGAATCAAGATCCGATTCAGTAGTCATACTGCAAAAGTGATCATGTGATGGGCAAATATTTAAAAAAAAAACCCACCCACCAACCCTATACTAGAGAAACTTGTAACACAGTAGAAGAACCTGAGGGAAAATGAACTATAGAAAAAAAAAATGGTGCTAGAAAACCAGTTTGGTGAATGAATCATCTGCCAGGACTATAAATGGAATCCAAGAAAAGTGATAAGGAATTTGTCCAGCTAGGATTGCTTCTCATCTCCTAATGCATTTCTGTTTACTTACATGATGTACATGATGTACATGGAATTCCTTCTTCCCTCAGCCAAATGTCCCTGTGGTAATGGAAGTCCCTTAGCCTCTGATGGGTTTTCCCAAGCAGGGGCCTTCCAAATAAGAGAGGTTTCAACTCAAACCACCCTCAACCGGAAACAGCAATTGGCTCTCAGTGGCGGACATTGGCGCCTAGCACTCTGGAAAACCACAGGGAAAATCCCTTAGATTACACCGTAACTATACACAAGGATTTACACTGAATTTCCTGTAACAGTATAGCTCCACCATGTGGCAAACCTATGCAAGACAAATGAAAATTACACCATAAGATTCTCTTGTTCATTGCTCTTATTAGGACCCTGCCACCCTGTGGCTTCAAAGGGAAAAAGCCAGTTTGGAGCATGAAAGGGCCCTACAGCTTTGCTTTTCCTGGAAAAAAGTGTTTCCTGGTTTAAAGTGTGACATGATACTGGAGAAGATGGAAACTGCAAATTTTCTCCATCTATACTTGATGTGGAAAAGTGACCTCTGGCTGTTCCTTGACCAAGAAGGAGCTGATACCACAAATAATTAATATGAATTACCATCTTGCATATTAAAGCAGCCTCTTTTTTTCTTTAAATGTTTTTTCTATCAGTGATAGATTTCAATCAGTTGATCCATTTCTCTCTCCACTTCTGAGCCAGTTCTGGTTACAGGCTATGGTTCTTCATAATTGGCAGATAGCAACCCCTCCCCAAAGTTTTTCTGATTTAGAGTCTTTCAATGGCAATGCAAGGAAGAGTCATCGGGGCTGAAAGCTGAGCCTAGAATGGATTGTTTCATGTATTAGAAGGTTACAGCGCATATCCCAACCCAAACTTCCTTTTTCAGTGATGGAACTTATTTGACAATTTAATTGGGCTTCATGTTTAATATTTGTATGTGCCCTGAGACCGTGACACAATCAGGAATGGCAAACCTGACCTGCCCCAGTCCTATTTTGGAACTACTCAATTATGGGCAGCACAAATGCTCCATTTTTAAGAGCCGAAAATAAAAGCTATAAAACATGTTTGTTTATCTATTTATCAAATTTCTACACGGCCCATCTCATCTAAATGATTCTGGCGGGGTTTACAAACTGTAATGCTGTTGAGCTTCTGTTAGAATTTGATCTCCTCCTTTGCCTTAAATCAGGGATGTCCAACCTTGGCATCTTTAAGAGTTGTGGACTCCAACTCCCAGAATTCCCCAACCAGCATGGTTGCCAAGGCTGGACATCCTTGCCTTAAAGGATCTCCCCCCCACCCCCAAAAAAAATGCCCACCTGGAGATTTCATCCCATCATTGGTATTCCATTGATCCTTGAGGTAACACTCTGGCCTTCAATGATTTAAAACAGGGGTTCCCAACCCCCAGACCATGGCCCACGACAGGGCCACGGCCCATTTGGAACCTGGCTGCGCAACCACTGGTGGAGCAGGCACATGTGCAGGGCTCCACTTATGTGAGCGGCAGACGCACATGCCCGCCACTTGTGCAAATGGAGTTGCATGACCTCACAGGCACACCTGCTGTTCACACAGAACCATCCCCTTTCCCCCTCCCCCACCGGTCCACCAAGCTGGAAAGGTTGGGGATCACTGATTTAAAAGCATCAAAGGAATTTCCTCCCTGGATAAGTGATTTGTCCTAGATTAGCCTGACCAAATTGCTTTCCTCTTCTCCAGGGGACGCTCAGACACACCTCACAAACCTCCCATTGCCAAAAAAAGTCTGCATCACTGATACATTTCTGCAATTTGAGTAAGCCTTTTTTTTTACAAGCAGAGCCTTCCATTGCAAAGAAAAGTACAGACTTCCACAAGTCCAAAATCTTTTAAAATAAAGTATTTTTATTGATAGAAGCAAAATGGGGAAAAAAACCATCCATAAATGCAAACAATTCAAAAATAGATAGTGATAATTTCTACTTTCACTTTTCTGGTATTTTGCATAAGATTGCAGCCAAAGGCTAAGATTATTTCAATGAAAGATGTGAAATGTTGTAAACTTTACTTATTAATTGACACAAGGCAGCCTGTATGAGCTGCAGCAGAGCAAAAGGGAGAAGGGACAAAGTAGATCTGTTTGGAAAATGTAGACAACTCACTTTTTATAATATATTGAATAAAGCAGTCTAAATCCAATAGAGAATTAAAAATATGTAATGGGTTAATTTGCCTACATTATTCAATTTTGATAACTCTTTGATGCTCAGCTCTAAGAACTAGAAACATTTGCCCCTATTTCCAACTGCAAACACTCAGGTAGCTGAATCTCCTATCTCATATAGATATCCAACTTCTTGCTTTGTTTTGGCACACGTTCCAATTCCTATAACAGCCCTCAACTGCTCATAGGAACATTTTCTGGCTTCAGCAGTAGTTGAATGTAGACCAGGCACCGTGGAGGAGATTATCCAAATTCTGCCTCTGCTGCTGTGTAGAGTTGTGAATGAGAACTAAGATTGCTTCTCATTCTGGCTTCTGTTGTAGCTCGAAACAGATCCCCTGCAAATTCTGCCTCTTCATCCCAAAGGAATCCCGATCTGCCCTCTCTTAAAGTGGACGTGTTCGGCAAAAGTAAACGACACCACCAATGATGATTGCACCCAATACTAACATTGTTATCACCGGAGCTATAACCCAGTTGCGAGACTTCCCTGAAATAGAACATAAGAGATGGCTTGGACCTTGTTATAAAAGAGCTTGCCAACTTTCTAAAAGTGTGTAAGTGCACTTTGCTATTTTGTTGATATTTCTCTAACCAGTTCAACCAAAACCCCATTTCATTCTTTGACTGAGGAAACCACAGAGTTGGTGAGATTGCTATCTCCAACCTCTGTGGTAATATTTCTCCTGCTCCTCTTCAGTATTATCACACACGCGCGCACACAGACACATCCATTGTCCCCACCATCTATCAATTTGCAAGTCAAATGTTTAGTTGAAAATATTAAATGTGGATATAAATAAAAGAAGGAAAAATGTGCAAATCTGAAAATAAAAACATTCATCTTACCTTCAAAGACGATGTCAATCTGTGCTGAATTCTTGCCATAGATATTATGTATTAGGCAACGGTAAGTCCCATTGTGGAACTCCTTTGCTGAATTAATTGTTACAGTCCTGTTGCTATTTGAGAATTCCACATTAACTTTGGAGGGAAGTTCCCAGGAATATTCTGGATTGGGTTTTCCTGTAGCATTACATGTCACCACAATTTTTGCATCCACTTTATAAGTTACATGAGTAGCCGATATGCTGACATTATAAGGGCTAGCTGCAAAAAGAAATGAACAAGGTGAGTCCTGTCTAACATTTCATGTAGAGCATTGATTGACAGCCCAGAAATGCAAACAAGCAAGACTGGTCCATTTCTCTGTCCGCTCTTCAGGCACCACTTTCCTATCAGGTATTTTGTGTTATTTTCTGTTCTGTTAATAAGGATTTGTCATTAAAAAATCTGGGGAATGAACACTGTTTAGTAAAGGGCATATACTATAGATGCAAAGAATAGCTGAGAGCACTAAACATTTATTTACATTCACTGCGAAATATCCCATATGCTCACAATATGCTTCTCTCTCAGCATGTCGTGAACCGATCATGTCATTGCGTTGTTCCATGATCAGTTCATGAAGCACGTTACGATTGATAGCCTCTGAACAATGAAACATGGGCTACTAGAGGAGGTATTTTTATAATGAAAGTAGTAGAGGAAAAGGAACACTAGCCAGACTTCAATACTAATAATACATTTTGTAATTCCAATAAACCAGGTAGGTGGTTGGCCTACATGTTGAGGAAAAAACAGAAAGCACGAGTCATTAGTAAAATAGAATATAGAGGTAAGGAAGTTTACCAACAGAATATGATTAAAAAGGCTTTTTTGGAATATTATACAAAGTTATATGCTAGTGACTCAATACAAGGTATAGATATAGATAGATATTTAAAGGAAGGGAATATTTTGGAATTAACGTTGGAACAGAAGGAAGGATTGAATCAACCAATAACTTCTGAGGAGATTGTTGCGGCAATTAAGCAGTTAAAAATAGGGAAAGCTCCAGGAACAGATTGACTAACAGCTTTTTATTATAAGAACTTACAGCTTGAAATGGTAGAGCCGCTTAGAACTCTGTTTTGTAAAATTCAATCAGGGGGAGGAGTTCCACCCTCTTGGAGAACAGCTTTTGTTTCATTGATTCCGAAGGAAGACCAAAACTGTATCAAACCTGAAAATTTTAGGCCAATTTCACTTTTGAACACGGATTATAAAATTTTTGCTAAGATACTAGCGAATAGATTAATGCCAGTTATGCAACAAATTATTCACAATGACCAATCAGGCTTTATAAAAGGGAGACAGATGAAATACAATGTTAGGCAAATTATAAACTTATTGGAATATTTGGAGAAAAATAATCAGGTCCCCGCAGCGTTTATATTCTTGGATGCAGAGAAAGCATTTGATCAATTGAACTGGCAATTTCTGTTTAAAATAATAGAAAAAATGCACTTTGGGGAGTATTTCATACATTCAATTAGAGCAATATATCAGGAACAAGCAGCACAAATAATAATTAATAGAGGTTTAACAGATGTGTTTAAAATTGAGAAAGGTACAAGGCAGGGCTGTCCCTTATCGCCATTGTTGTTTATTTTAACTTTAGAAGTTTTGTTGAATAAGCTACGTGATTTTGACAAAATAAAAGGAATTGTAATTAGACAGCAGGATTATAGACTAAGAGCGTTTGCAGAGGACCTGGTTCTTACTTTATCTCAACCTATAGAAGCGGCTTCCTATATGCTGGATATAGTAGCTCAATATGGTAAAGTATCTGGATTTAAAGTAAATCTACACAAGACAAAGATGATAACTAAAAATTTGTCTATAACTCAAAGAGAAGATTTAGGGAGAATAATGGGGTTTGAAGTAGTTAAGTAGTTAAAAAGTATATATTGCAGCCTCAAATACGAAATTGTATAAAAATAATTATGAAATTCTTTGGCAAAAAATACAGAAAGAAATGGCAAAATGGAAAAAGTTACAACTATCACTACTTGGAAGGATAGCAGCAATAAAAATGAATGTACTACCTAGGTTTTTATTTTTGTTCCAAATGATACCAGTGCTTAAAAAAGATGGAAATCTGATGGAATGGCAGAAAGGGGTTAATACGTTTATTTGGGCTGGGAAGAAACCAAGAGTGAAACTGAAAATTATACAGGATATACGTGAGAGAGGAGGTCTTAAAATGCCTAACTTAAGATTGTATTATGAAGCAGCAGCTTTATCACAAATTAGTGATTGGTTTAACTTAACTGAAGAAAGAATGTTAAACATAGAAGGTTATGATTTGTTATATGGATGGCATGCTTATTTGTTGTATGAAAAAAAAGTGGATAAAGTGTTTAAGGGTCATATACTCAGAAAAGCATTTTGGGCACAAAACTTTCAGGAACCAGTGATGATGGAAATGTGGGAAAAGATTTGGGTCAGAAATGTTAAATTTACGCAAGCACAAAATCTGAGAGAGAATTTTTATAAAATGTTTTATAGATGGCACTTAGATCCTAAAAAATTATCATGTATGTACTCGAACTTGCAAGCTAAATGTTGGAGATGTGAATGTAATGATGCAACCTATTATCATATATGGTGGACCTGTAAGAAAATCAAGGCATTTTGGATAAAAATTTGGTGGGTGATGCAGAACATTTTGAAAAGAAGGTTGAAATTTACTCCTCAATTGTTTCTATTGGGTATAATTACGGACTGTACAGTTTCAGACTAAACTGATTTTGAACTTAATATCAGCAGCTAGGCTGCTGGTAGCTCAATATTGGAAGAAGGACTCTTTGCCTACTATTGAAGAGTGGATATTGAAAGTAACAAACCTAGCAGAAATGGCAAAAATCTCGGCGTATTTGAAGGACCACACGCAAGAAAGATATGTATCGGAATGGAGAAGATGGATTGATTATATTCAAAATAAGTATCAGACAAGAAAATATCAAATAGCTTATGAATGAATGTTAGTATTAGAAGTATTTGGTTATCTATAGTGGAGTTAAGGTTTCGGGGGGGAGGTAGTACTTTGAGGATAAGTAGATTAATCTAGTTTATGTTTGATTAAATGAAATACCTTGTATTTTGCTCTGGGAAGTCTGGGGGGAGGGGGGGATGAAGGGGGGGAAAGGGTGGGGGGAACATCGGGGAAAATAAGTAGTAGAGGAAAAGGAACACTAGCCAGACTTCAATACTAATAATGTTCCTCCTGCTATGGATCTTTGGATAGTGAGAATCCCAAGTTCATAAAAAATAATTGTTACACTTGAAAAACAACTCTAGTAATAAATGACAGGCCAGAAGATCTATGCAGTGTAGCACTATTATTACCCAGTTGTTAGGGAAGGCAAGGTGTACTAGAACGTATCCAAAGCAAAACATTTGGGTGTGATCCTAAGAGCATTGGACAAAAGAACCCATAGTTTTGACATAAAGTGCAAGCATGGACAAACTATAAAGCTGGCTTCATGTTCTCTGGGCCAAATTATACGAGTCAAGCGGAAGAGAAGATCTCAGCCTGCTACATCCTATTCTCACTTGACTGTTGAACTCCAGGAATTAAACCAAGAGATTTCCCTGCAGCTAAGCCTCCCCAGCAAGTCAACTATGGCAAGGATGGCAAGTTATTATCCAGTGTAAATAATGTGGCAAGAGCATCCTTGCCCTGAGGATACATTGTCATTCCATGTATAGTTAAAGAGTTTCTACAGAAACCTGTGGTGCTTCTGAAATCTTCACACTCATTTATCTGGTCACCAGTGGGACAAAAATTATTTTCCTGCCACAAGAGGGAAATAGACTTCACTGTTCTTTGTGAGAAAGAAGGGAAAGAAAGGTGGGTTTGATGTGACTGCTTAAATGCTGCTCTCGCTATCAAGGACAAGCCCTAGATTTTCCAAGCTAGAACAAATTGCCAGAGAGAAACAAGACATCTAATAACAAATACTGTAACTACCCCTAACCTGAAGGGGAAAAAAATAGTTAACCTGCCATGCAATAAATGCAACTTACCCACAACCTTCAGAGTTTGATTTGCATTTTTTCTCAGCACTTGTGAACCCAACAGAAGGTTGGCCTGACAGAGGATCTCAGCCCCGTCATCGTGCTCTAAATTAGGCACAAAATTATACTCCACAGATGGTTTTCCATGGCTGCTGTTCAGAATTTTACCATCTCTGCTCAGAGAAATGTTGCTGTGAGATGGGATGGAGCCCCGCACCTTCAGGCTAGAAATGTTGCACACGATTTTTTCCAAGTGATCATTCAGAACTTCAGAAACTGGATATATAACTGGAGTAGAGAATTCTAGATTTGGAATGACAAAAGATAGCGATGACCAGTAGTTGGAAAGATAAGTTAGCGCTTCAAAGAGCTAGGCAATCTTGGCCTCCTGGAGGTAGTAAAACCATCAAGAATTATATGTAGTTGTTATTATTAACATGTTGTTTCCAGACATTGTAAAAGCCTAGCACTGATGATATTACGGTACCTAGTTAGGGTAATAAAACGTCTGCAAGAAAACAATCAAGCTCAGAGAGCACCAAGGACCCCTCATTGTAAAAGCCTCCCTAAATTGTCTATGAAAGAGATATGGATGATACACAAAATCTAAAGTGGAGAAAGTTATTCAGCTTCCTTAATTAGCACCAAGCATGATCCTTGGATTTATCTCATCAAGGTGTTCAGCTGCAATGCATTGGAATAACCAGTGGACTATGCTGCCAGATCACCCCTGTTTTTCCTTGCACTCTGCAATTGCTTCTCATTGCTCAAAGGACCATATCATATTCTTTCTCTAACCCTGGAGGTGATTATCCAGATCCCTGAAATGTCCTTTTGTATCCCTTCCTTACTGTGCTATCAAAGGGATGGAATGTTGGTTTGGTACCAACATTTAAAGGCAATTTTTAATTTTTCCTTTCCCTTAATGAATGGGCATGAAAGAGAAGAGAGATACTATGGTGCTGTATTTAATAGGGATTTCCCCTCCAAACTAATCTCATATTTTCTTGGACCGAGCTCGCTTTCTTCCCTGCGGTCCCTTGGCATGTCATTCAGGGCCAACGTGTGGCTACTCATCGAAATAAGTTTAACCACTTCTGCAATAAACCATCTCAGCTAATATCAGCCTTTCCAGGTTATGAACCAGGAAACAAATTCCATAAAATGACTAGAACTCAATTTTATTGAGGTGGGCTACATAAATCTTGCAAGTCTGGCTGTTTTCTTCTTTCTCTCCCTCTTATAACCCAGTGAGTCAGAGAGAAGCCAGCTTGAATCTCTTTCTAACACTACCTCCCTTCCCGGGACTCAAGGAAAGCTGCTGCCCTTTTTTGTTGTTGTGGTCGCTTCTGAATATTTCTCCCAAGCCTATCTCCATGACTCTCTATGGCTACTAGAATATCAGTGTATGAATGGTAAAAAGAAAGGTAGCATTTTCCATATTAGAACACAATCACATACTCCTCAATTACATATGACGTCTTGAATTTGGTGCAAGGAAAAACAGGCTGTACAGAGGAGATGCTTTGTGGTGTGTAAAACTGAAAAGTAACATTGACAGCTGAACATGAGAATTAAAAATGGAAGGGAAGGGCATATTAACCTTTTGGTGGACATTTTTGTGTATCTTCCAACACTGCGAGATAAAAAGTGGATCATTTTGTTGTGGTAGTTCTATTGTTTCGGGAGGGGTTTTTTAACTTGTAAGCTTCCCAGAGGATGGGCAGATATGTAAATTTAAATAAATAAATGATCAAGATTCAAGAAGAAGACCTGTCCTCCTATCATATTTTTCCCAGACTGCACCCTGTAAAATTTAACAATTTGCAAAATGATTTATAGAATCACATGTAATAGGAAATTCTGCTCTTGAATAGGTAGGATGATATGCATAGGTGAGTGTGTGGGTGGGGGAGGAAGAAAGATTTTTAAAATGTTAATTTTTTTTCTGATGTATCTTGATACTATGACTGGATCAGTTTCATTTATGAGAAGAATTAAATATTTTTCCACACACCATTTAATCGTGACTATGGCAGTTGCACCAAGATTTGACCTGAAGAGTAACATTATTATGAGAAACAAACCATGCTTGTGCATGTAGACTCCCTTAGTCTTGGAACAATGGAAACAATCTGGCCATCATCATGGAGGCCTGAGTTCAGCTGCAAGGGTGGGAAGATATGTCCCAGGATGTGGCAATATACTTTTTTGAGCATGCAGACCAGTCCATTTGGGATGCAAACTAGAGGTTGGTTTCAGCAGGTTCTGACCAGTTCTGGAGAACTGATAGCAGAAATTTTGAGTAGTTCAGAGAACCGGTAATAAAAATTCTGACTGGCCCTGCCCCCATCTATTCTCTGCCTCCCAAGTCCCAGCTGATCGGGAGGAAATGGGGATTTTGCAGTAACCTTCCCCTGCCACACCCACCAAGCCATGCCATGCCCACCAAGCCACACCCACAGAACCGGCAGTAAAAAAATTTGAAACCCATCACTGATGCAGACAGTATATCACAGGCATTCTCACAATTCGTGACTGTCATGATAGAGGGGGACCTGCTTCTCCACAAAATAGGCACTATCTTACGCTCCCTGTAAAACCACCTCTTTACTAAAAGTTAAAGTGGAAAGTTGCTTCCTCATATCTGCTCTGCTCCCCCAGCATGCTCTTAATCATCCCAGATTATTATTATTATTATTTTGTGGGGGGCAAGACAGTTGGATCCACTTCTAAATAAAGCACAACAGTGCAACCTTCCTCTATTTTAAATCAGTAATAATGCCATCAGGACTTATGTGGAGCCCATAGATGCTTCTTCTTGGAAATAAGGATACTGCCAGAAGCTGCTGCTTTCCTCTGGAGTTTCCAGTTTCCTGTTTCCTTATGCAATAGGGAGGACAATTCAATATAGACAAGTTTGTTGCCATGGGTGTGGTGATCCTATGAACTGGATGATGGGTTTATATTAATCAGGATTAATAGCTTATTCCCAGTTAGGGGAAGAGGAAGCGGAAATGGAAGGGTTGTGATTATTTGTCTGAAATAACTGATTAATTTTTGGCTTGATGCCTAGAGATACATATAAGTTAGATGTAGAATAAAATATAGGTTGGTACAAGAGATATCCATCAGGGACCTTTTTCCTGGTATTAATTGCAGGGATGGGAAATTGCATTGTCTAAGATCTAATATCCCTGTTTTTGGAACAATATGTTCTGCTTGTGTCTGAGTTAGAAAACTAAGGTAGCAAATTCATTTTAGATTATGATTCAAATTCCAAATATACACGTGTGCATTGTTATGGTTATATTTTTATAAGAAACAACCTCACAGAGAGGTAAAATGTATGCTTATATGGTTCATGCTACCTTGGTTTAAATTCATCTTTTCTGAATAGCTTACAAAACCAACCTAAAAAGAAGATAAACTGATTCTTGTTTCATTTCCAAGACATATAAATGCTTACTGAATACAATCTTGAACTGGGACAAGCAAAATGCTGAATATGTATGATAATCAAACCCTGCATTCAGGTTACATCACATACTATGCCAAAAAGAAAAAAGAAAGAAAGAGCTAGGAAAAATTAGTTTTAGATCTATTGGAGGTAGAGAAAAATCATATTTCTATTATGTATACCAATAAAGGTAAAGATAAAGGTTCCCCCGCACATGTGTGCTAGTCATTTCTGGCTTTAGGGGCGATGCTCATCTCCATTTCTAAGTCAAAGAGCCATCTCCGTGGTCATGTAGCCTGCATGACTCAACGCTGAAGGCATACTGAGCGCTGTCACCTTCCCACCTATTTTTCTACTTGCATTTTTTACGTGGTTTCGAACTGCTAGGTTGGCAGAAGCTGGGACAAGTAATGGGAGCTCACCCCGTTACGCGGCACTAGGGATTCAAACCACTGAACTGCTGGCCTTCTGATCAACAAGGTCAGTGTCTTAGCCACTGAACCACCGCATCCCCTCATATACCAATAAACCTACTTTAATACTACAACAGAAGTAGAAAATTAAATTGCTGTATAATCAAGCAGAAAGGCGTTAAAACTGTGTTTTGATGGTTGGCCTGGGGCCCTGATAGGGGCACTCTATGTTGGAGCTGGCTGGTGGACTAACAGAAAAGATGGTACTACCATATCAAATTTGCCTTTTAATATTTTAATATTTATAATTTTAATTGTAAGCTGCCCAGAGTCACTTTGCAGAGAGAGATGGATGCCATGTTTAATTCAATAAAGAAATTGCAATATATTTTTCCCTCATCTTTTGACTTTTTCTGTTTCATGACAGCATCTTAACAGCCACTTGGATTGGGGATGTGAGAGCACATCTGGAGAGTATGAAGCTGTTACAGGAAAGTCCTAGGGAAGTAGGAAGCACGAGAAATTCAAAGTAATTCTGCCCTCATTGGGGGAGGAGTAGGTTGAAATAGAGAGAGGCTTTGGCATATTTTCAGTTTCTGTTGGAATTTTCCTAATTGCATAATAGTACTTTTGAAAACTAACATCCCATGACCTTGTCTATCTTGAAGGCTGATTAAGGTCTTCCCTATAAAGGTCATTCTCCATGTTCTCAACAGACTTTCAAATTTTCCAGTGTCCACCAGCCCAAAAGAGATTCATGATCTTGATGCTAAGCCTTAGAATATAGCGGTCAGAAACTCTGGAAATTGTCACCCCAAAGTATCTGAAGGTCACTCGGTGGGAACTGCATGGCCTTTGAAGTGTCAGTTTACACCTAGAGCAGAAGTACAATGGATCACCAGAAAGGCAGAATCCAATATTGGAAGAAATATCCATTTGGTTCAGTTCCAAGCCGGGAGAATGACACTGGAAACATGGAGGTTGATTGGAAAGATGGTTTAATGATGAAGCAGAAGCACATGGATGGTTCTGGTGCAGCTAACCACATAGAGTTGAAAGTGAGTATTTATACCTTCTCTTGGGCTTTGAACTTGAGCTTCCTGTTCCTGTTCAACAACATGTATTCTATTGGCTGTTGTCAGACTCCCATGGGGCCATGTAAGGGTCAAATTTGTCTGAGCTAAGCTTGATTGAAGTTTGCTAGGTAATGCAATGTCCTTAGGAGGTTGTGCAATGTAGTGAGCTCTGCTGCTAGATGCTAGTGGGTTAATCCTATTATGTCCTGAAGGGTCATGTCTTAATCCCATCATCCTGGAACTGATTTGTTTTGTAGATAGGCTGGCCCAATCTGTCTCAATGGGCACAAAATATCTGCTGGGAGCAGGGAGCTGGGGCTCTGAGTTTCTGTCCCCCTTAAGATTTCTATTTGTCTTTTAGGGGAAATGTTTTATCCTGCTTTTAAAAAAAATATTTCTCAAAATATTTCATTCTTCAAGGAGGGGGGTGGGTGCTAACTTTCTGCACCAGGTTGGACCCTGCAGACTCCCACATCAAATCCTTTTGAGGGCTGGAAAAAGCTCTAAAGCTGATCATAAACCAGTCTCAATTATTTGTCTTGCAATGTTGCCTCCTTTCTGAGCTCCACTGACAACATTAGACACCATTCAAAGACAGGGCCACACTAGTTTGTCACTGTTTTATAGTTGGTGGGGGAAAAATAAGCATAGTGCTTCTACAGATTTTTTTTCTAGAAACCAAATATGACCCAAGTCTTACAATACCTTTTAGTTCCAATTGTTGGAATGTTTATGGTAAACAGAATATATAAATACTTACCGTAAACATAAATTACTTTCCTGGTGTAGGTTTGATTAAAGTCTCCATAATTAACTAAGCATGAGAGTGGAAGTGCCCATTCAGTCACACTGGTTATGTACAGATTAATCCAACCATCTCCCTTCTTGAGCATGAATGGAAGAGCCACTTCCCATCTCAGTTCAGTATAGTTGTTACACGAAACTGTGCACGTCAAATTCAAAGAAGCCCCAAACATCACAGCATTTACTTTGGGATGGATACTGACTTCACATGAGTGCACTAGAAAAACAAGAACAAGATGCAAAGAAAAGGTTACAAAAAGATCTGCAGTCCTAAAAGTATGTGTAGCATGGTTCTGAAAAAATATTTTGATGAAAATTAAACAAGCATTCTGCCCTACAGGTAGTCCTCACTTACCTTGTTCAAGGAGGAGGAGGAGAATGACAACAACAACAACAACAACAACAACAACAACAATTTTAGTAGTATTTATTTTTGGGTTAAGGATCCCTTCTCCTTCGTTCATTTACACATTCCAAGCAGTTGTATCAGCTTGGTTTTTTTTCAATTTTCTTTCAGTGGAAAAAGCTTGGATGCCCTGCTTTTTTATTTCCTGTGCTCTAGGTAGGACTATAGATGAGAGACATTTGTACAGAGAAGACAGTTTCAGCTGACTTGGTAAATTGCATGGAGGGGAAATGTTATAGGCTTGAAATACTTCCAAGACATTTGAAAAAACACAAAGCAGCTATTTTGCATGGAAAACAACTGTGTCAAATGGGGAAAAAATTCAGATCTTTCATGTAAATACTGAAACACAATTCAGACAACAACAAAATGTTACAAAGCTTAAATTTGGAGTTTCCATTGGCAAAAAAGACGATCACTGATGCAGTGTGTCAGAGAACTCATAGATATAGATCAATATTTCCTGGAAAGTCATTTAGTTGAGATTGCAATGATAATTCCACAAGAGCTGAAAGTTGTTTTTGTCATTTAATATCTATTTTACATCCTCAGTGATTGTTGATATTATATGCCTGTAACACTGATATTTTAATTTATAAGGACATTTTAAATCATTGAATTTGGATAAACTTGTAATGCATTTTCCACATCAAAACCAAGAAAACGCTATAAAGTATAAAATTGCTGCTTATGCATCTTTATTTGATTTATGATATGCTATAATTTAGAGAATTCAATGTCCTTCCAAAGTCTAGTGTGGATTTCAGAATGAGCGTCTATCATAGTGATAGTCCAGATAGCAGCACACCCAAAACTAGCTCTAGCTTTATTGCAAGGTTACAGTAACAGAAACTTGTAAATCTGAAAGTACATCTCTCCCACTCATCTATACAGTCCAAGAAGCTAGAGAGGATTTTTTCCTGAGACATTTGCTATGTCCCCTTTCTTTCTATGACTTTATCTACCTCTTATCTGACTGTTGCCTTGTCTGCAGCTCTTCCTCCTGTCTCCCAAAGTCATTCCCCCAAACCATTACTACACCCCACCCTGTAACCTTTTCTTACAATGCCACATTACCTCCCCTACCACCCAGCCACTCTCTATGTTCCCACTAACATTTTGTGCTGGCCTGATATATGACAGTATTTTTAACAATCCTAATCAGAGGTTTGCCTAGCTATTGTGTTTGTGTTACTGTATTAGTGAGAAAGTGGTTTTCTGCTTCTGAATCCTCCCCAGAATAGTTGGGAAGCCAACACAGATAGAAAAGAAGATGCTCTTCTATCCACCTGGTATTCCCTAAAAGGGAGACAGAGGCAGGCTTTGCAATATTAAGACCAAATGAATAAGCACAGGTGGAGGGAAAATATTGGAGGCTGAAGAATGGAGAAGAGCCACCCTACAGTAGTAAAGATTGGTTACCCATCCAAAATATTTTGCTTTTTACTAAGATCTGCCCAAGCCAATATGCCTTCTGAAGGAATGGACAACAGGGCACCCTCCATCCTTTCTATATATAAAAGTCCATTGGTTTGCAAGTTGAATTCAATATAGATACTAAACAACATTGCTCATAGCACCTAGACCAAAGGGCAGTCCTCCAACTGAGTAGCAATGGGCTGTGGCTTCCTCCCCAGTTTCAACTGTTGGAGGACTAAGGGGTACCCTGCAGGCTGCACTGCCCCAAGCTCCAACCTCCTCCTCTTTACCTTTGCTTATCCATTAGCCAAAGTCACCACCTTACTCTGGTTAATAGCATCACTATGTTCTAGTCATGTGATTATAAATAATCAGAGAGTAACTATTGAGTTACCAGTGACCTCTCTTTCAAAAGGAAGGTAAGTCTGAAACAGTTCTGTGCAGAGAAGTGCACGATTGAAAAGCACAGAGTGATAGTCTTTCATTCCCCTCCTGGCCAGTTATATGGAACCATTGGTTTTCCATTTTGTCCATGGTGAACTACAGCCCCATTAAAAGCAGAAGTGATCGGTGGTGGTCTGTTTGCCAACATTTATTTCACAGAGTGGAATAGGCCAAGACAAAGAGGAAGCAACTTGCCTGAACAGGTCCAAGGGCAAGATTCCAAGACAAAGAAATAGTTTCCCATCAGTTCAACTCCATAAAAACTCCTTTACTGTGACATTGGTCGCATTCCTGCTTTACACTTGTTTGTAACATGCCAAGAAATAATGCACACTTTAAAATCACACATCACTTTCCCTTGGAATAGAACTGCCTTCCTGCCATTGTTGAACTGAGCCAGACCCACTGAAAAATGACAAACAAAATTCTGCAGTGGAATTCTTGGCAATGAATGCTAAGTTGGCTTCCCCATACGACTCTGTTCTGAGAGCGCACCATGCTGCTGGCCATTCATGTGCTTTGCCAAGGGTAAGCATCTGTCTACACCTGGGTAGTTGGCACACAGAGACAGTTTTTACCACCTTATAAGCTATATCAGTGGCAACTTTAAAAGGTTTGAACTTCAACTCTGAGGAATCTTGGGAGTTGAGGTACATGCCTCTAAAAGTTGCCAAAGTTGAGAAACACAGGGCTAGATATTTACCCCCTGAAGCAGTTACAACTCCATATTGGTTCTAGACAGCACTGATACAGTGATAGAGGCAGGACGGAATGAATAAATTAATACCCAAAAAAAGGCGCTTTTCAAAATGCAACTGGACTTCCTTGATTTTTTTCCTTGAAAATATTTCGCTTCTCATCCAAGAAGCTTCTTGAATAAGAAGTGAAATATTTTCAAACAAAAAAACCAAGAAAGTCCAGTTGCCTTTTGAAAATCGCCTTTGGGATAACCATGACCGGAATGATTGAGAATCTCCATAGGAATGAAGAAATTAATGCTGTAGTAAAATGTCATTAGAATTCATTTGAGATTGTTTAGTATGATTCATTGAATACATTAATAAACCAAAGAATAAGTGCCAAATTAGAAATAACAGATGAGATGGGGGCACAAGATAACTTCCTAGTATTTTGTAAGGGGTAATAGTGAGATCTGGATTTGATAAGAACAAAATGAACACACTTAATGTTGTGTTTTTAAATTTTTAAAAAGAGCAAGAGAGAGAGAAAAGGCATCCCTCAGTCATGAGATCATTGTTTCAAAATCAAGAATTAACTTGTCCTGCATTGTGAGGATCCAGCTAAAGGACAGAGTTTCATTCCAGTGAGGCAGACAGAGAACAAATTATTGAAATACTTTTTTTCCATCTTTCCTCAGATTCCCTCTTCCAGATACATGCTGCACTTTCCAAATTCTCAGCCTATTCCATTTGCTGAGTTGACAGTCTCCATCATCCTTGAGTCAACCGGAAATTGCATCAGCATGACGTATGCTGTCTCACTTTCCAGCCATTATCAGCCACCCAGTAATGGGTGACAAAGACTAATAATTTGTAGACACTTTAAGACAGAATATGGTGTCAGAATTAGGAGGGGAAGTGCTACTGGTGCTTATTGGTCTCACCCATGGACTGCGTGAAAAAAGAAAGGAACATCATGATGTTAGGGTAGAAAAAAGTGCAGTCATGGCATTTATATACTATGAATAGGCAGAATTAAAGAAAGGTCAGTTGGTTGCATCCTTGCTTGAGAGCTTTTACTCCCTCTCAACTGAAAAAGAACGGATGAATCAGGGTTGACAAACAATTTGAGCAATATGGGGGAAGGAACAAAAACTGCTTAATATTCTTCAGCATCTCTGCCTTCCATTAAAGGTAAATAAGCTGACACATGGACCCAGATAGTAGCAGAGATTTCTAAAGGGATTTAGGCAAACCAAAATTAGATCTATTCAGCAGTGCCTGGTAATTCACAGGGTTATTTGTTGTAGGGAAAATAGGAGGAAGAAGCATTAGGTACATTCACCACGAGTTGCATATAAAAATAATAAAGATGGGATACAAATAAAATAAGAAAAATAATTAAGAATGGTCTGCTGCTTTTAAGAGTACTCCTACACAAGAATGGTACCAGTTTGAAGGCAGCTTTATTTTATTTGGGATCATCAGCACTGATCTGAATGGTAGGAACAATACCACTAAAACAAACAAAAATTGCAAGCTTGTGCATAGATTGTTTCTACATGTAAGGTTCTACATTTAGGCAAGAAAAAACAAATGCACAGGTATAGAATAGGTGGTACCTGGCTCAATAGCATTAACTGCCAGAGGGATCTAGGAGTCCTAGTAGACTATCATTTAAATATGAGCCAGCAGTGTGCTGCAGCTGTCAAAAAAAAACCCCAAGGCTGACCTTGGTTGCATTAACAGAGGGATAGTATCAAGATCACAAGATGTGTTCATACCACTTTATAAAGCCTTAGTAAGACCACACTTGAAATACTGCATCCAGTTTTGATTGCCACAATGTAAAAAAGATGTTGAGACCAGGGGTGGGTTCTAAATTTTTTCACTACCGGTTCTGTAGGCGTGGCTTATTTTGTGGGTGTGGCTTGGAGGTCATGTGACTAGGTGGGCGTGGCTAGCTGGTCAGTCATTTCTGGAAGGTCCTCGCACTTACGGCCAGTCCTCACACTTACGACCTGACTCATTTGTTTGCTTTTAACACTGATCAGCTGTAGGACGGCCCTTTGAAGCCCCACGGCAAGAGTTTAAACAGTTTTTTTCCCTCTAGTCATCAGCTGGGACTCAGGAGGCAGCAATAGATTGGGGGTGGGACCAAATAAAAGGTAAGAATAACGTGGGGGGGGGAGGGCGGGGGGAGAACTGGTTTGGTGACATCATATCATCACCGCTACCGGCTCGGCCGAACCAGACTGAACCGGGAGGAACCCACCACTGGTTGAGACTCTAAAAAGAGTGCAAAGAAAAACAACAAAGATGATTAGAGGACTGGAGGCTAGAATATATAAAGAACAGTTGCTGGAATTGGTATGTCTAGTTTAATGAAAAGAAGGACTAAGGTGACATGATAGCAATCTTCCAATATCAGAGGGGCTGCCACAAAGAAGAGGGAGTCCACTGATTCTCCAAAGCACCTGAAGGCAGGACAAAAAGCTATGGATGGAAACTAATTAAGGAGAGAAGCAACCTAGAACATAAGGGAAATTTCCTGACAGTTAGAACAATTAATCAATGGAATGACTTGCCTTCAAAAATTGTGAATGCTCCAACACTGGAAGTTTTAAAGAAGAGATTAGACAATCATTTGTCTGAAATGGTATAGGGTTTCCTGTCTGAGCAGAGGGTTGGACTAGAACAGGGGTGTCAAACTGTCAGCCCGCAGGCCGGATGCATCACACACCTCCACAAAGGCAAAAAACACTGGGATACATCACGATACATCACATGACACGATCAAGTTTGACACCTGTGGACTGGAAGACCTCCTAGGTCCCTTTTAGCTCTATTATTTTGTTATTCTGTTTCTCCATCTGCAGGTGCTCCTTCCCCTCCTTAGCTAGCTAGCAGGCTTTAGGTCTTCCGAGGAAGAAAGGGCATTGCCCTTTTAATTTCTCCCATATAAACTGCTCAATTGGATTGAATTTAGTTTTATTCTATACTATTGTGTCAATGGCATTGGCATCCTTCAGTCTCAAGAGACTATGGTATCGTGCTCTGGAAAGAGGTCCTAAAACAGCATCTAGTGTGACTAAAAAGGCCAATTCGAGAGTGGCAATCCCTTCCACACTGAGGGCAGATACATTCTGTCCCCTGCCCAGCCCCCAGATTTCGCTGGTTCCGGGATTGCCCCTTTGCCTCAGCCTGCCGAACAAGTGTGTCTTCGAATTGGAGAAGGCCATGCTGCGTCTTTAGCCTCCAAGCTGAACGATCGGAGGTCAAGGTTTCCCAGTTGTTAATGTCCATTCCCAGGGCCTTTAGGTCCCCTCTTGCAGATATCCTTATATCGCAGCTGTGGTCTCCCTCTATTGTGTCAGTAGTGGGTTTCAAAACCCGTTGCTACTGGTTCGCTCATGGGCATGCGCACCACTAGAAGCTGGTGGGAGGAGCCTCCTACCGCCACCACTACCCGTTCGCCTGATCCGGGGAGAACCAGTAGCAACCCACCACTGTATTGTGTTGTGCTTTAATAATGTTCAGCTGATTGTTTTTTAATATTCTATGAACATGGAATAATAATATAGCCTTCATTAATAACACCTAAACCAGAGTCTTGTTTGTGATTATGCTGAACAAAATATTACATTTACTGAAAAAGTGGCCCTGAATCAAACCAATCTTGAATCAGGCTAATTGCAGACTAGAAAGGATTATTTGGCGTGATCTTTTCAAGCAGCTCACTTTAAATCAGGGCCCAGGGGCTGGATCCGGCCTGCGGGGTGCTTAGATCTCGTCCATGGGGCCACCCTGAAAACAGCAAAGGATCAGCCTGTGGTGCCTCTGCCAGTGAAAACGGAACCCAGAAGGGCTGTGGGCAGTCCTCCCAAGCTCCGTTTTCATTGGCAGCGGGTTGCAGGAGGCCATCGCAGCCAAAAACGGAGCTCGGGAGCCCGTTTTCACTGGCAGAGCGATAGGCCACCACAGGCACCGCAAACGCGAGTTACGTTGAGCTGGCCACGTCCACCCTGGCCACGCCCCCACCCACCCCCGAAATCAAACACAACCCTGATGCGGCCCTCAATGAAATTGAGTTTGACACCCCTGCTTTAAATGGACATGAAGGTCTTGCAGAGCCCATGGTTTAAATCTACATAATTTATTTTTATCTATGCATCTAAATTCTATCTATGTGGTCATTAAGAGTTGACAATGACTTGATGGCAGATAATTAATTTTATGTATTTATTTATTTATTTATTTATTCATTAATTAAATTCCTATAGCTGCTCATCTCACTGAAGGCAGCTCTGGATAGAGCAGAACAATAGAGTAAAAACAGCACATATAAAAAGAGCAAACACAGATATAGAAAGTAGTAAATATCAAAACATACAAAAAGGCCAATTTGAAATCATATAAACAAATAATTTAATGTTTTACTTTGGGAATTACTTAAAATAGTGCCAGTTTTAATTGCTATGACCTTGGATGTAACCAGTGGATAATGAGAATTCAAAAATAGCAGCATATGACCATATCTGCAAGGTACCATAACAAATTACTTGCCCTTGACATAGACAGGAAAGGTTTGAATTTCATGAAGTGTGATATGATAGTGTTAATAATTAGTAGTATTTTTTACTAACAGGACACAATCCACTAGGAGACAATATTTCCTGGTATTACTATATCCTCTTTTAAACAAATGGAAACTGTACTTTCTTTCAGTAAGTCTTACATAGAGTAGTGCAGTCTATCTTTGTGTTCAGAAGTTGCTGAGAAGTAATGTTGTTTGGATTTTCTTATTGCCTCCACTTGCACCTGATCACCCATGAGCATGCTCTAGAGATCGCCTTTTCCTGCTGTGTCTTCCTGAGTTTGCCTTCAGCTCATGCCCTACCCAAACCCAAGCCAACCTTACAGTCCCCTCAGCTGTTAGTATTCTTGGGCATTGTCCTCCAGGGTTATTTGGCGTGGGCAGTAGGAGAATCCAATTCTTTCAAATCAGGGTTTCTCTTTATCTACCAGATCTGTGAGCCAATCCTGGCTTAAAGACATATATTGGCCTAAATAGCAGGTGACCAATGATGGCAGCAGCAATGCACTAATTATAGCCTGAGAGGAGGCTCTCTTGCTGCAGCTTCATGATACAATTCTCCCCTTGCCTGTCAGCTTTTGAACCCAGGCAATACTAGGTGTTAAAATACTAGGTGTCTTATCAGCTGATAGGAAGTACAAAATAGTTATGTCATCAGTCAGAAGGTAGATTTTTCTCAGCACTGCACAAGCCATCCCCTTGATCCATTAAACTGTGACTTGGATTACTTCACATGGGTTTAAGGCTCTTTCAGAGGAGTGCTAAACTCATGTTTTAAAATAGCCTACTTTAAGAGATGACAAATGCATGGGAGGTTGCAAGGTGCACCAGGAATTCTGTAGCATCACACAAGCTCTCCCATGTGCCTGTCAACTGTTACATATAAAGTGTGGAAGGAGGAAGACTGGACTACACTATGTCACCCCCATGTACCTGTCAGCAATTAGTAGCTAATAGTTGTCAGTGGCATGGGGGGTACATGTCCTTCCAAATGCATTTCACAATCCATGTTGTTCAGAAGAGTGATGTATTTTTTCCTGCTGGGTGGTGATGTTTATCGAGGGAGGCAAAAGGAAATCCACCAAAATCTTTCTTTAATGTTCCCTGCACACAGTATGTGATAATATCACCATACGATAGCATCGTTCCTGTGACAAGACAAGGATCAACAATAAAAACAGCAATTTTTTTGTGTAGTGGAGTTTTCTGCTGGCTAATGGACTAATAATGGACGGCATTTCAGCTGAACCAGGAGAGGAGTCAGAACTGGTGGCGCAGTGGACTAAGTGCTGTTAAAGTAGCACTTAATTGCCAGCTGCCTGCAATTACTGCAAGTTCAAATCTCACCAGCTCAAGGTTGACTCAGCCTTCCATCCTTCCGAGGTAGGGAAAATGAGGACCCGGACTGTGGGGGCAATAAGCTGACTTTGTATAAAATAGAACACCGTTTAGGGGGGGACGAAAGCTCTACTAAGCAGGTATATACAAAAGTATGAAGGCTATTGCTTAACGCATTGTAAGCCACCCTGAGTCTCCGGAGAAGGGCGGCATATAAATCAAACTAATAAATAAATAAATAAACTTAAGGAAAAATGTTGTGATAGATTAGGAAACCTTGAGTTTTGTCCAATCCATTTCATTTTCATATACACACACATTGTGCAATGACACCGAATCCTTATTGACTGAGCTTGAAAAATTTCATCACAGGATAGCATCAGAATCACATATATTAGCAATTGAGTTCCCCCTTCAAATCTGATTTAATGTTCTTATTTCTTGCAATCTAAGGGCAACACTCATTTTTTTTAAAAAATGTCTCACCATGTAGCCTATTCTGATATGTGAACCTAGTACAGACTTTGCAGATATTATACTATACTTCCCTATATCCCTCATATTTTTCTATACTAATTAAGGCTCCCATGAATTGTAGCTGTATCAGAAATTTCCCCTTCCATAGAAAATGTTATAAAATGTTAAATAGGCTATTGTTAAAAAAAGCTACATTATCTCAGGTAAACCAAAGATTTCCCCCCTTTTTGCTATATATTGTAGTATATTGCCATAACTTTAAGATAACTGCATGCAACTTATCATCGGAGGAAATTCTTTATATATAACATTCACACAAACTAGGATACTCTACTTGACATGCCCTATTTTGCTCTTTCGTTAGTCAGCTTGTAAATTCCACCAGCTACACCAAATGTAAATTCAGTTTGGTGGGGGTGTTTTGGAATATTTAGTACTTACTAGTAGGCACCCAGAAGACGAGAAGGACAGCCATGATCTGAAGCAGAACAGTTGTCATTTTAACCAGCTTGAGGGACCAAAAATTGAAGCACAAAAAAAACGCTCACTTAGTCAGATGAACGGAGAGTCAAGCTTGATAAATGGAATAAAAGCAGTACTAAAAAACAGCATGTCATTTCAGGAAATATGTGTTTCCTTTACTCCACCCTCTCACGTGCTTATTTCCCTGAATTTTTTTTTACAAAGGAATCCACAGAAGACAATAGAACTTACAATGCTTAAATAACAGAAAAGGAAGGGGTCTGGACTTAAATGTCACTATCAGGCACCACTCAGAATTAAAAGTTGCATCAAGAGAATTCTGTTAGGTGCCGGTCACACCTGAGGAAGTTATTTAAACTATTGTCTTAAGCAATATTATAATTTCCTTCAGCTGATGGCTTCCTGAATCCTTTAAAACAATAAGAAATCAATTTTATTCAGTTTACAGAGGAAGCTTTTAGGCCTCTGCATCATTGCACATCAAACAGGACTTTTCTAGGAACTGTTACAATGGATGGAATTGTCTATTTTGAGAAATTTAATGCTGATTGATGGCAGAGTAACATTTAAATCTTTAAGAGAAACGTCCTTTGTAGAATAGTCATTTTGAAATGTGATACCTATTCAGTAAAGGAGAGAACACAACTGTATTTACAGGATTGTAAAGGTGGAAAAATAGGCATGTATTAATTCTCAACCCTGTGAGATGAGTCAGGCTGAGAGAGGGAATGAGTGGCCTAAAGTCAGCCAGCTGGTTTTCATGCTTAAGGTAGCACTCCAACTCACAGTCTCCCAGTTTATGGCCATCAAACAAGGGTCCCTAGTCTCTTTAAGGGCTGGTGGACAATTTGAGAACAATTTTGCAATATGCAGCTGGGGAAATTCTCTTTTCAACAAATGGCCACCATACCTAAGCAGATAACAGAATAACAGAGTTGAGAGGGACCTTGGATGTCTTCCAGTCCAATCTTCTGCTCAAGCAGGAAACTCTGTACTATTTCAGATAAATAGCTTTCCAATCTCTTCTTGAAAACCTCCAGTGATGGAGCACCAGGCTGGTCCCTGACTTTGCCTCTTCAGTGGGATCATACCTGGTACTTATATTTGTCCTTTACTGGATAGACAACTTCTAGAATAAATCTTAACCTTCAGCCGCCTTCATTTTTATTTCTGAGAAAGGATATGGGAAATCAAGATAATGCTGGAGATTTCATTTTCTTTTAGAATATGATCATTCTCAATTGCTAAACTTCAGATGTTTCTTTAATGTAAAGAGTGAAGTCAGGCAAGGACCTGGGAGTACGAAACGATGCAGCAGCCAGCCTACAATATTTCAGATCCCACTGCAGGGATGCATAATAAGCCTTTATTTACATGCAACATTGGCAAGGTTGAGATAACCTACTTTGCCCAAACCCAACAAATCATATCACAGCTTCTTCTGCTGGACCCCCATAGCTGAAATTGAGTTAGCAATTTGTTACTAACACAGACTTTGCAGTCACTTCCTGAATTAGGATTAAAGTCTAACACCCATTTAATACCATCTTAATCCCCAGATCAGTTTGATCCTATTCCATTCTGACTAATTTAACTTGCTCTTCTCACTCATAATGAGTCCACCCAACATGCTTTTTGCACAGCCTAATTCAACTCCAAGAAAATCTAAACCACAGATCATACATAAACATGAGAGGCATTCCTGGTTGTAATAGATGTTTATGAAGCCTGCAAAAACTGAGAGAAATGGGCTCTACTCTAAGAGATAAGGGATTGCCCAAACTGGCTGCTGAGTCAGTTAGTAATAGAATTTTAGATGGCATAGAAATTTAGATGGAATTCAGCAGCCTTTGTAGCTGCAAAGATGTCTTGGACTAAGAAAGCAGGACATTTCTCTCTACTGCTTCATATTTGGGGAGAGGGCCAGAGGAAGACTGGCCACTCCCAGAGTGATAAAAGAGAGCAGGAGGAGCTATTGTGTCTACAGAGCTGTAAAAGTTGCTGGTAATTGTGCAAATTGATTGATGCTCATTTTTCTGCTACAAGGCTGTCTCTCCTGACTTTCAGTTTAGGGCTGGGACAAGTTTCCACTGCTTTACTTAATTCCGGTACAACATAAACAGGCTGGTCATAAATCTTAGAGGCAACGTGTTTAACAGGCTGCAGAACAAGTTCCAGCTTTCTGTCCAGGCAGGGTGTTATGCTAATTGAAGCCAAGAATCTGATATTCCATAAGCAATGCAAACCAAGGGATCAAGTTCAAGGAGCAAGATGACAGCAGATATCGGCTCAAGTCCAAGTGTCACTCTAGCTAGCATAACACACGGAATCGAGACAAGAACGTCGCTGCTTATTGTGCCTGGGTTTATAAGACACTCTCCATCTCAGAAAAGGTACAAGGATCTACAAACAAAAAAACACAGCCCAGATCAGTTCCAGTTTTATTCCTCACTGCTGAAGCTCCTAGAATAACCAACTTTTTTTGGAGCTATTGTGAAAGACTTCTGGCTGCAAAACTGCAGGTATACTACCTTCCGGCTTCATTGCTGCAGTGTCAGGGTTTTTTTTTAAATGAGATGGAGGGAATGGGGTCTTATGACCAGGTTGATTCCATTCATAGGACTCACTCAGGTATTTTGACTAGACAAATGCACGTTGAGAAAGATTGAAAGAGGGGATGTAGTGGGTTTAGAAGATTCTAAGATGCAACAGCTGTTTTTTCCAATGAGAGTCAAGGGATGGGATTCTGGTGAGGAGAAGGAGGCAGACATTTCTTCTTCTTCAATCAGATCAGCTTCATCAATTCTAGTCTTATCAAAATAAGATGACAAATAAATTAATCTTTCTCTCCCCACCCCCGCAATATGTCATCCGTACCTCTGAAATACATGGCAAAGGAAGAATTAAATTTTAGGCAATAGGTGTTTTATTAGCAACTAACAAGGCATTCTTTCGCTGTGACAGCTTGGTTGCAGTGCTGCAGCAACCAATCTGCTTTCCTTTTCCTAGAATAGCTAAGGTGAAACTTCCCGCTATATCTTCTCCTTTATGATTCCTTTAATGTTTGCTCCCAGGCCATTTTCCATGATCTATTCTCACCTTTGCTAATGAAGTATTTAGCCAGCTTCTCTATTGATCTGACATTGCAATGACTGCAATCTGGAGGAATAGGCAGAATTTTATAATCTCTAAGAACACACCCTTCCATTTCCCTAATTTTATCCTGTGGCCATAGCAATATACCCTGTATAGTAGAAGTTCCATGAGTAGCTCTGCTGCCATTAAAACGCAGGAGATTCAGGTAGGAATGACCATAGCTGTTGTCCCTTTGGTTAGGTTGAAAGGAAAGGTCAGCCCGTCTCTGTTGCTCTGCACATGGGCACAATTTCACCAAGAGATTCTATGTGAGATCAGCAGCTGAGCTGTGCATATTACCTTTGCATGTAAATGTATGCTTAGACTGTTTCCACATTGTACCACTGTTCCTACTACAAAGCAGAATGCAATCCCATGAAAATGTTGCAATGGTGATCACCCTAGCAATGTTTAAATCAGGCCAAAGAAGGCTTCCTGCCTTTTACTGAAATGTCAAAACTTTAAAGATGCAGAGATTCCAAAAGAATTATGAAAATGTATAATAAAATGAAACCTATTATTAATACTTTTGGTTACATTGGCAAAGAGCAATCAAAAGCATTAAAAATAATGTTGTGACATGGAGGTTTGCTTTCTGAATTTCACAGATATGCCTGGCGGTTTAAACGTATCCATGGATTTTACTGAGAGTAAATTTGGGTGCCACTAGATTTTATAGTAATATAAATTCTAGCATCAAACAAAATCTCATAGTATTCATCTTTCCATGATCAAAGTTCAAGGAAAAAAATACATTTGGAAAAAAACATATCACTTATTTTACAGAAGTTGCATGTAATCAGTTGCTATGTTTATAAAGGAACATGTTCATGCAATTCACATTATAAAACTTCTATCAGGAAAAATTGAATGTCAGGGAATGAAAAAACTTGGGGAGAATTTACACTAAGACACTGTATGATTAACAGAGACTGAAAAGACAATTAGCTATTACAAATTATGATACAAGCATGTTGATTTAAAAAAAACACCTCAAAGATAGTGTTGGACCAAACTATTGTCATATAAATGAAGACAGTATAAAGTAGCTGCTTTTGAAACTGCTTTTGCCACACGTGGAGTCCAGATTGTGATGAAACCGTAGATTGCTCTGGAGTGCACATAAATTTTAATTGGCCATATTTTCTTATCAAGAATGTAGAATAAGAAAGAACTGACTAATAATTTTGTGACAATCATTCCATAACTAAGCACCCAGGAGGGGTTTGTTGGGATTCAACTATATAGAAATGTATCTTATACTATCTGTTTATACAATCTTATTTTTAAATGGTATATAAATGGTCTATATAAATGGTTTATAGTATTGTAGGAGGTTAGCACCACCCCTCTCCTAGAAAAATGAAATATTCTAGGAAATATTAAAAAGGCAGAATATTTCCCCTAAAAGAGAAATAGAAATTTTAAGGCAGAAACTCAGCCCCAGCTCCTGCCTCCAGCAGATATTTTGGTGCCAACCTATCTACAAGAAAAAGGCTGGGTCAGCTTATCTACAACACAAAAGACATGGCCCTCAGAACATGATAGGATTAGCCCTCACTCAAGATCTAAACAAGGACAAAGCCATTAAGCCATAATAAGAATTGCCCAAAGCCCCTTCATTACATCATCACCCAGCAAGATTCAACCAGGCCTGGGACACAGACAGCCCACAAAGTTAGCTAAGACCCCCACCCCTTGGGAGTCTGACAGTCAATGGGATACATTTCTTGTACAGGAACAGGAAACTCTAAGGCAGGGCCCAAGAGAGTGTATAAATAAATCCCTCTTTCCACTTCCTGTGCTCTTTTTCTGTCCAGGACCTCAAAACCCATGTGGTCCTGTCCAGCATTAAACCATCTTTCCAAGCAGTCTCCATATTTCCAGTATCTTTCTCCCCACTTGGAATTGAACTCAGATGGACATTTCTTCCAACAGTATTTTAAATTAAAATTGTTTTAAAATTATGTTTAAATTCAGCAT